TTAACCCTTTCCCCGCTGATCTGGCTGCAGCGGGCGAAACCTAGGGAACTGAGAGCGGGAGGCGGGAGGCGGGCTGCCAGCGGGGGGAGCCTGGGAAGGGGGAGCAGAGGGGAGAGGGCTCCCGCGGAGTACGCGGACTACGGGCGGCGGCCGAGTACCGGGCGAGGAGGGGGCTGCGCGCAGACAAGGACGGAAGAGGGGCGGGCGTCACCCCCATCCCAGTTCCGGCTCCCCGCCTCCCCTGCGCTTGGGTCAATCCCCCGCCCGGCAGAGCCCCGGCGGGGAGGGGGGTAGGGGAGGAGGGGTGGTCCCGGTGTCCTCCCCGCACACACCCCCCACCAGCCCGGGCTCATTTGCCTAATGCAATGCGGCTGAACTCTCGCTGAACTCGCCTGGCGGCGCCTCACCTCCGGGTGACCCACCCACCGCTGCCCGTGACATCACCCGCTCGCCAGCCCGCCCGCGGGGCTCGCCCACCCGCCCCCCGGGCGGCCGGGCCGGGCCAACTCTCCCGAGACCCCGCAGGAGCCGCGGAGCCGGGTGTGTGTGGTCAAGGGTTAGCGAACACGGCGTGCCGGGTGTCCCGAGTGTGACATTGTGCAGGTCGGCCGCAGTGTCGGAATGAAACACTCGGCTTGTGTCATTGTTTGTGACATCATATGAGTCCCGCCGCGCGCCCGCCGGCCGGAACCGACGCGGCAGCGCGGGTGCCTGGGCACAGCGCGTGCAGAGAGGGCTGTTCTCCCCACGCTCCGCGCATCCGGCGACAAGGCCCCGCCCAGGGTGTCTTCCAGCCTGGCAACCGGGATGGGCCCCCCACCGCACAGTGGAGCCGGGAGAGATAAGGGGCTGCTGCCTCCCAGCTGACCACTTCCTCCCGGAAGTCCTCGGGATGTCTGTTTCATTGGAAGACTTAGGGGCCAGAGAAGGAGGGGATGCCCCAGAAGGAGAGGGTATCCTATTACTCCCTGCTGCGGTGCTCCCTCATTCTGAAAAGGGGTGGGAATTGACATGCTCGCCAAGGCCGGTCTTCTAGAAGCTAGGTTCTTTCTGTATGTTATCACAGGGGTACGTGGGCAGTTATCTTACTTTACAAATACACAGAGGTCTCAGCAAGGCTAGATGAGTTGTTCAAGATTTCACTATGTATACTAAAGAGGAGAACCATGCCAGGGGCAATTCTAGAAAAACTGTTTTCTGAGCACTTCCTTGGTGAGCCTGTCCTTGCAGACCCTTATGGAGGATTATTATTATTAAGCAAATAATCACACATAGATATTTAATTGCAAACTGAGATAAGTGGTGTTATGACACAGTATGGTATGCTTTGAAGGAGAGTTAATGTAGGCACCTAATTTAGCGTCAGGGAAGACCTCAAAAGCAAAGGTTTAAAGCATGTGTGTCAGGCCAAGAGTAAGGAGTGGAGTCCCAGTAGAAGAAGCCTGTGCAAACGTCCTGGGGCTACAGCTGCTGTGTTTATTCAAGGCCCTGACACAGGACTGGGGTGGATGGGGCAGCAAGTTCAAGAGAAAAGGGAGCACAAGACCAGAATGCAGAGGTGGCTAAGGTCAGACCAGGTGGGACTGCTGGCCTCAATTAGATTTGGATTTTATCCTAACTACAAGAAGGGTTCCAAGCAGAGACAAAACCTGATATACAGTGTTAAAATACCTTCTCAGCAGTCCTATGAAGAACAGACCGTAAGAGGGTAAGCTACTGTGAAGTCCAGGCGGCACACAATGTTGGCTGAGCCTCAGAACGGTTCAAGCCCTAGTGATGGACAGTGGATTCATGAGACCATTTTTGAAGGTAAAAGTCAGTGGGGGAGGGGGTGGGAAAGAAGGCAACCAAGGCCGCTCTGGTTTTGCAAGAGCCAAGTTCCCCAGAATGCAAAGTGGAGAAGTGGGCTGGTGGGCAGGCTGATGTGGGACTCTAAAGGGTGGTGGCACCTGAGAAGCCTGAGCTGCTGAGGGGCTGCTGGGCTCTGCGGATGGGGGGCCCATCCCGGTTGCCAGGCTGAGGGGCTGCTGGGCTCTGCTCAAGCCACAGCAGCCGGGGACGTGCAGGGAAGAGCGCAGGCGGCTGCTGTGGCCCCTGTGACATAACTCCTGGCCCCCAGTTTGGGCTAGACTGTCCACAGCTCAAGGCACTAAGGGAACTGAGACCATCCTTGCCATCAAAGACCCAATGATGACAGGAGAGTCCTCGTGCTGCTGCTCACCTACGGAACAGGCAGGGAGAGGTTACCCACTAGTAGTGTTGTGCGAGGAAAAACAAAGACCCCTGGGGAGAGCATGACAGAGGGGGAACATCTGGGAAGAAGCAGCATTCGAGATGTTCCTTGAAGGGTGGGTAGGGTGGACAGAGCTAGAGAAGAGGAAAAGCGGGGTGAGAGGCCTGATCCAGCCCAGAGCAAGGTCAGGGACAGGCCACAACAGAACACAGTGTCCTGGGGAAAAGCAAAGCTCAGGCCAGTCACTGGGGGCGATGGGACTCAGGTGGCAGCCCTGGGCAGCCCCCCCCCCTGCAGCATTCCCAGCAGTGCCTCCAGGCTCTGGTGCTTAGGGGGCCTCCAGCAGGTGTGGGCTGAACTGGCCCCCCTTGTGCCAGGCAGGGCTCCCTCCTGTCCCCAACCCCATCTGGAGGGGATAGCAAACAGGAAACCGTGGGGCCTGGAGCCAGCCGGACAGGGTGGCCACCCTCCAAGACAATGCCTGGCCCACCCACACTCCTCAGCACTGCTCTCGTGGTACTTGAAGCGCACGCAGGCCCTCACCAGCAAGCAGGTCACTGTGGCCTCAGCTCCTCAGCCAGCAAAGGATTAAGAGCCTTGCGTTAACAGGAGGAGACAGACTCAGAGAGAAGTTGAGTGACCTGTCCAAGGCTGCACATGAAGAGCTGTCCTTTGAGACAGCTGCCCATGAGGGGAGGGTGGGCTTGGCCTGTGGCCTGCTGAGGATGCTGGCAACCTAGGAGTCAGAAGGGGGAGGGGAAGGCCTCTCCTGATCTTGCCCCAGTTGAAGGCTCCAGTCTAGCCTGGGGCACCCAACCCCACCTCCGTGCCCCTATTCCACAGGAGTTGGAGGCACAGGCAGTGTGGGCACTACCCCAAAGTGATTTAGAGAAAGGAAACACTTCCTCTTTCCATAGACACTGAGCCCCAAAGCGTAATCAGGGCCTGTGTTGGCACATCCCCATGGGCACACGTCCCTTGGCATGGGACACAATGTCTCAGGCCCTGGCCAGCCCAATGGGACAATGGACTTCCATCCCTGAGTCCCCTCCCCCAGCCAAGGGACCATGCCAGGATGCTGCCCAGAGGGGACCCGTGCATTATCAATATTAGGAGATAAAAAGTGAGGGGCCCCGTGTTTTTTCAAAACCTCATCTAAAAGCCTCTTGGCTGACACTGCATTCTGGACCCCAGGACCAGCATTGCTAGCAGTTCCCACCCCCAGGACTATGCTCCTGTTGTAGGGAACTAGAGGGCAGAGAGCAGGCAGGAGAACATGTTAGGGGGGAGGATACCCTGGACGAACGCCACACAGACCCTGTGGGTCCACCCCACTCCAGACCAAAGCCATCAAGATGCAGGAAGCTACAAATCCCATCATCAACCAAGAGAGGATGCAGGGGCCTGAGTGCCCAGTTAGGCGCCAGGCTCGGTATAAGCCAGACAAGTGGGCCTTGGGGGTGCTCTTGGATTTTGGCTCTTGCTCTCTTGGCCTCTGGGTCTCTTGGCCTCCTGGCTCTTGGTTTAACTCTTGGCTCTTCACCAGCTCTCAGCGTGCCACTGGGATTCCAGGTCAGCGAAATGGTAGCACGCATTTACCAGTTACTGCTCAAGGCTTAGTTTTCCTTAGCACTCAGACTGCTTCATTGCTGGCTTGTAAACCCATCAGGCAAAGATCAGGAAGTAGTCAAAAATCAAAGTCAAAGCACCATTTCACTAAAAAACCCCACTATTGTCATTATAAATGCTAATGAGACCTGTAAAACAGTAGAGATCACAAAAAAATGTCCTAAGTCCTAGCAACTTAACTTTAATCACACAAAAATGTCCAAAGTCCTAGCAACTTTAATTAACAAAGGATGCCACAAACAGAGCGCAAAAATCTTAGGAGAAGAACAAAAACTTCTGAGTTTCAGAGAAGCCAGCCAGGTGGCCTCTGACGCCATCTTTGATCTGGCCCACATGGCCCAATGTATGACCATCTTTTGAGTAAAACTGCTACACAGAACAATTTCCACAAAAGAAAACCTCTTAGCAAGAGACTACAAACAAATTGCACACATATACACAGAGTTTCCACAAGGCCCAAGCCAGTTTTTTTTCAACAGCAAATCTACATCTGAAACAAACACACTAGAGAAACCAAAAACCACATTTGCGTTTATAGTATCCAGTGGCATGGGGAAGCCAACTTCCCCCAAGGGGCTGAATAACCACGGAGGGCTCCAGCCCCACAGTGAGCACCAAATCTGTTACAGGGTAGGGCGAGGGGCACCCCAGAATCCCCAAATCTGCCCACTCTAAATAGGTTCTGCCATTTGCCTCATCAAGACAAAAAGCGAAACCTTTAATGGAAAGGAACTTGGATACAATGAAAGGAAAGACAGAGAATATAGTTTCTAAGTCAGGCACCCGAAGTTACCCATCCCTCGTGGGTAAAAGTCCACCCAAAGGGACGGGCCCAGAGCAAGACCTGAAAGCCCGCCACAGGTCTAAAGCACCTCGGGCGGGCACCCAGAGACAAGGGTCAGAAATGGCCAGACACGTCTGCGAGGAGAAGAGCAAA